TGGGCTGCCTTGGTCTGGTGGTGGGGATGGCAAGGTCAGGTTTGAGTGGTCTATCCTCCTGTCACCCTAAGCCCACCCGCTGTCCTTAGGGAGCTTGTATCCCAAGGGCAGCCAACTGCTCCCCTATATTAACTGGGTCCCCAGGGCTTCTCTCCTAGTGGTCTAGAATTGGGCTCACAAGCAGCAGGGTAGTTTGGAGGCTATGGGATGAAAATGCTCCCACAAACACTTGGCCGTGGGGAAGGGGTCCCTGCTGGGCCAGAGGCCATGCACAGGGAATGAATGAGGCAGAGGAGAAGGGCAGGGCAGCAGGCTGTGGGTCTATCAGTCAGGAGCTCCTTGCACTGACCTGTGGCAGGTCCCTCTGTCTCATGTTCCCCACCCCTAGCAGTTCTACCCCCTAGAGGGCTGTGAGGGTCTGTGGGAAACATGCTGCCAGAGTGCCCACCATGTTCTTCCTCATGCTGATGTTAGTATTTGGTACATGGCAGGACAAGGCTCGGCTGGAATAGCCCATGCCTCTTGGGAGAGCACGGTGCCCTGGGCAGTGGGCAGTGAGCCCCTGCTGAGTGAGTGGGTCCCAGGTGGTGACCAGTCCCACAGGGTTCCCGGTGTCCCAAAGCCCAGATTCCTTAGGCCAGTGCCCCAGGTTTCTGTCCTGTGGGTTCTATGGGAGCATGCACAGAACTGAACTAGGTGGGACTATGTCAACTCTGGGCACGTAAATTCAGCCCTGCGGGGAGCTGCTGATCTTGAAGGAACTGGCCTTGAATTTGTGGGAAGCGGAACAGGTCCCCTGTGTGGTCATGTGGTGGGGGGCACAGACTGGGCTGGGGGTGGAGTGCGGACGCAGTAGATGTGACCCCTGTATGATAGACCAAGGATCCTCAGGAATGTAGGCAGGAAGGCTATCTGGGAAGGATGATTAGTGCTCCTGAGAACTGGAAACCCCAGCCATGCTTGTTGGTGCTCATGGCCTGTCTCCAGCAGGCTCAAGCCATGGGCACGAGGCCAGCAGGTGGGCGTGGGTGGCAAGGCCTGGAAGGTCTCATCCCCAACTCCTGTCCGGTTTTGTGCTTCCTCAGATTCCAGCCTCCCAAGAGGCCCACACAATGGCTTCCTTCCAGGGTCATGGGTGGGCAAAGGCCAGCAGCAATGATGATTTCCTCCAGGCCCAGCAGATGCTGCCTTCTATCCTCCCACACCCTGACTACCTCTCCAAAACTCAGTCTCATTTCTAAGAGACCCAGGGGAGGATGGGACAGGGGAAAAGCAGAGGCGTGTTTGAGATTTCTGGCCATCTGTCTGTCTAGCCAGACAGAATGCCTGTGGCTGAGAAGCTGGAACAAGGCTCCTTAGCAGCCCATAGAAGAGACGAGGCAGTCTCCTGGGTACCAGTGCCCATGAACCAAGAAGGCGTTTGGTGGGGGCTCCTGCCTGGAGTGCAAGACTTGGAGTGACCTCCTAAGCCTCTCTTAATTTAACAGCCTGGGAATCAGGATTCTGGGATTTGTGTGGTTGGTCTGGATTTGGAGTGGCTGCAAGTCACGCTGAGGTGTGCTGGGAGCTGTTCTGCGCACGCTGCCTGTGTTAACTCCATTGCAGGCAGGAATTGTACCCTTCTTTTACAGATGAGGAGTCTGAGCCTCAGAGAAGTCAGGCACCCGGTGGGGGTTTCCATCCCAAACCCAGATCTCCTAAGGCCCCTGTTTCTTGAGACCCAGTTGGTTGTGACTCACATCAGCTATAGGGAAGGCTGCCTAGGCCCATGTCAAAGGAGTACCCTGGAAGGACAGTAACTGAGTGGCTGCCACAGTACCCCCCATATAGCCTCCGACAAAAGCATTTGACACCTCACTTGCTTCTGTCTGCTCCTCAGCCCTACTCTGACATGTCAGAGAGCCAGCTTGCATCACAGGACCTGGTGGCTAATGGCATCCACAGTGGAATGGGTCTGCCCAGGGAACAAACCAGGGGCCATAGTGAGCACTAAGGCCAAGGACTGGGCCTAACATCTTATCTCACTGTCCCCAGGAGGACTAGGGACTTAAACTGGCTGGACTTGAACAAGAACAGTGGTCACTGGCACCAAGACAGCAGGCCCATCTCCCCCTTGGCCTGGCACTTCACCAGATCTCTGTCTCTAAATCACAGGCTGGCAGAGCTAGACACAGTCTCCATTACCATGCCCAAGGCAATGCCCAAAACCACTCAGTGCCCCCAAGGACAAGATAACAGGGGTGTCTCTGGGCCATCGGGTGGGTGGAAGCCAGGTTCATAGTAGTCCTAATTCCTAACAATTTGGATAATAACAGCTCAGGTGGCCTTCTGCATATCACAGTAGATACTCTCATATCCGGGAGAGGCTTTTGCTGACCTAGCATCCCCCGGCGGGAGGTGAGAAGCACTGGCTGGCAGTGAAATGCTCACGCACAGCCCAGTGCCCAGAGAACCTGCAGAGCAGCCGGCCTGCCCATCTGCTTTGTGGAGCCCAAGGCCTTCCTGGGCATGGAGTGGGTGGAGAGTCAGGTTCAGTGGGCCAGTTTGTCTCAGCTCCCTCTTTCCCCCTTCCTAGGGATGCCCACTGACCAGATGCCAGGCTCTGGGCTTGCTGCTTCACACATGAGTGTACCCCACCTCGCCAGCAGCTGAGATGATCACCCTTGTACAGATGAAACAGGCTCAGGGTACCCCAAACAAGATGGTCAGAAAGTAGTGAAATCCATCGTGAGGTGTTTCGAGGTCCCAGAGCAAGATCTACCGAAAAAGAGGAGCTCACCGGGAGAGAGGAGAAGCCGAGCAGCAGAGCAAGCAGCTCCTTCTTTATCTGTGCCCTGCGCCATCAGGCCAGGATGCCTTCTTCTCCCTTAGGGGTGGGAGGGTGCCATGGACTACTGACTGCCTCTCCTCCCATGAGAGGAACCGACACAGTGCATGGATACGAGATCCTCGGGGAATCTCTTTGCAGCTGGAATGTGGTGACCCTGAAGTTCAGGTGTTTGTATGGCTCTTGTCTCCTGCGTGGCCCTGGTTATCTCTGCATAGTGTTGTGGCTCTGGCCTGGCAGAGCAAGAATGCCTGTTGCCCTTTCAGGCCACATCATCTGTTCCCATGGACCCCTAGGTCTCAGCTCATGGTCAGTGGCCTCCAGAATCTCACATATGTATGAGGCACCTTGGTGAGGCCTGGGTGAAGGGAGAGTGAGCCATCTGTGCTACCCTTTGTGCCCTAGGCTCAGTCCTACCAACTGCAGAACACCAGATATGCCCCTGCCCTCCACCAGGTACAACCATGGAACACCAGATAAGGACCCCAGCCCATCCACTAAGCTCGCTGGGGGATACTTTGGTGCCAAGCAGAAAGAACCTGGGCTTTGTGCTTAGTTTTCCCATTTATCCACCTTCCTCAAGAGCATCCCTGTGGTGATAGAAATGTTCTCTGCACTGTCCAATATGGCAGCTATGGACTACTGGAAACATGGTTAGTGCAGGAAAGGAACAGAACTTCTCATTTCAATTATACAGCTACACATGGTTTGTGACCACCATGTTGGACCACACAGCACTCAAGGCTTCTGGAAGTTGCCATCCATCAAGTGCTCAGCACACAGTTGCCACTCAGTCAGGGTTGGTTCCCTTCCCCAGTCCCTGGGGGGTATGGTCAAGGTTGGAGAGGTGGGAAGGCCTCTTGTCCCAAGAAGGCCTTCTGCACCTGGTAGGGAAGAAAATAATAACTACAACAACAATGATCACCTAAGGTCATAGGGCAGGGACTACTTTTAAAACCTGTACCTCATAATAACATTTGAGTGCCAACCAAGCACCAGGCATGGTGTGAAGGACCTTACGTGTCACGCTACGTATCTCTTGAGGCTAAGCATTGTTCTCATTTTATGGTTGAGCACATTGAGGGCCAGAAAAGAGAAGCAGCTTGCCCAAGGTCAAGAGCTAGTACATATCACCGCCGGGGTCTGCACCTGGGTGTCTTGTCTCCAGAGTCTATGCTCTTTGCCCAAACTCACATTGCTATATTTATTTATTCACCAGCTGTTCTTCTGGGTTCAGTACTGGTCTAGAAATTTTGGAGACCAGAAATGCATAACAGAGGGTCTCCTTGAAGGACTCCCCACCCACACACACCACTTCGCCATACAGAAATGGTGACATGTGCCCCAAGGTACAGCCAACGAAGGTCCCCCAGCCCTGGTCTCCATGGGGTGATGGCAGGTGTGTTCATGCAGCTTGGGCCAGTGCCTATGTGAGAAGGTGGATCCCCACACTGAGAACTCTCAGGTTATGTAGCCACACCCAAAACATGGACGCTGAGGTTTGATCGTGGTTCCCTAAAATGACACCCAGTACTTTTCCCATCATCTCTCACCACAGGAGGCTTGCAGTATATATCAGCTGAGCAGATATTGTCTAGTGCTCTCTCCTGGGAGCCAGGCAGGAGAGTCACACCCCACTTCACAGAGGGGGAAACCAAGGCTGGAGGAGATAGAGACCTCGGGCAGAGCAGGTTGGCCCTGCGCTCAGGAGGAGCCAGGCTGTCCGCATTTCCCTCAGCTTCTGGTCCAGGATCACCAGGGAGCAGGTGGAAGGAAAACACAGCTTGCGCACTGAGGGCTGCGAGTCATAAATACAGCAGCATCGAGAAGGAACGGGAGGAGGGAAGGATGCTGACGGCAAGGATGTCCGCTTCCCAGATGTGTGTTCACAGAGAGCCGAGCCCGCCGGGTCCCCGGGACTGCCCGGGTGTCTGGGCATGCGCATGTGCCTGTGTGCGTGCCTGTCGTGAGCTGTGCCATGGGTGGGGCATGCTGGCGTGGCAGTGTTTAACTGTGGGTGACCACGGCATGCAGGCTGTCTCCAGCTCCCTACAGCCCTCCCCAACCCGCTTCCCCATTCTCCGTTCTCGAGCAGCCAGATGTCTCCCAGATGTTTCTCACTTCCTGCCTGGCTCCGTCCAGTGCATGTGTGTGTTTATTTTGGACAGCCCACTAAATAATAACCATTTTAAGAGAAGCTTTTCATAACCTCGTTCCCACGAGGAGTCAGAGTTCAGGAAATAATCCCAACTCTATTCACTATTGTCCCCAGGCTCTCTCCTCTCTGACCTCCACCTCCCACCCTCTGGGACCACTTTTGAAAAGATTTCTGTCTCTCCTATGTGGTGTGACGCTGGCTCTTTGGCAAGCTGGAGCTCAGGGCTGCTGGCCCCTTAAGAGCTTTGCCTAGAGCCTTACCTGGATGCTTGCTAGGAATTGGGGTTCCAGGGCTGCCCCAGATCTGCGCCAGAGGCATGAGTGTGACAGATCCCAGGGGATTCCTACCTGCCTGCAGCTCTGCCTTGTTGCTGGGCCTGGCAGGTAGAGAGGCGGCCTGGGGGTACAGACTGAGAGGCCTTGAGGCTCAGGCAGGGGCTGGGATTTGAGCTCTCCTCCGTGGGCTGGGGGAGGAGACAGCCCAGTAGCCTCTGGTGGGGTGAGGCAAGGGGATGGATCCATCCAGAGGATGTGCTTCTCCCTCCCTAACCCTGGCAGGCAGTAGGGGACAGGCCAGGAGCCATGCCAGCCTGGCATGCAGCAGGGTAAAGTGGTTTGGGCCTCACCTGCTTCTTGGGCTCCTCCAGCCCCTGCCCATCCCCTGCTGCCACTGAAGATTGGCTGGCTCTCTCTGTCTGCAGATATTCTTGGTGCCTGGAGCTCCCCGCCCTGCAGCGCTGCCATGGAGTTTGGTTCTTCTGTCTCTGTGTGACCCAGCTTGTGGTCCTGGCTCCTAGCAAATGAACTGGCCGTGATGGCACTCTTCTGTAATCTCAGCTACTGGAGAGGCTGAGGCAGGAGGATCACAAGTTTGAGCCCATTCTGGGCAACTTAGCAAGAAGTATCTCAAAATAAAAATTTTTAAAGGGCTAGGGATGTAGCTTTGTGTAAAAACTCTAGGTTCAATCCCCGGTACTCCCACAACCACCAAAAGAGCGAATAGTGTTGGTGCTGCTTACCTCATGAGGTACCAGTGGAGTCCCGACTGTGATGGTTGCATAAACCATCCAGTGCTCTGCCTGTGCCTCTCCCTTCTTCAGTCTCAGCAAGGGAGTGAGGATGGCCTGCCGGGGGAGGCAGTAGACGGAGGCCCAGCCTGGGCACTAACCAGCTGGTGGCTCAGCTGGGGAAACAAGGCTCCCACCTGGGGAAAGTTAGAGCCACCAGTGGGTGCTCCCCGCACAGGGGTAGAGCTGGCAGGGCCTCTTGGAGAGGTGTGGGGGGGTGCTGCAGCCCCAGAGAAGGGTGACTCTGAGGGGAAAGAAGGGACATGGAGAGGTCCTAGCAAGGCACAGGACCGCAAGGGAGAGGATGGTGAGCTTCCTTCCTGAGGGCTGGCTCTAGCTCTCCAGCCCTCAGGAAAAGAGGAGATCTGGTGGGATGGGGCTCAGGATGGTGAGGGTCCCCCCAGAGAGGTGGGGCTGCCTGCAGGTGCCCTGAGCTCCTTCTCTACAGAAAGTGGCCCAGGCCACATATCAGCAGAGTACACAGTCAGTTAGGCATCAGGGACCAGTGGAGGGATGATTAGGCCAGTGGCTGGCTAGGGAAGGAAGGAAGGGGAGAGGAAAGGCAGAAGGGAAGGACAGACAGACATCTGGATGGGTGGGTAAATTTATGGACAGATGGGAGGAGAGATGAGAGGTTGATAGAATGAATAGAATCATCCCAACGCTGGCAAAACTTCTCATACCAGGATCCACTGACCCCACCCTTGCCCTGGAGGGAGATAAAGCTGAGAGTGTGTGTGTGTCACAGGATAGGTCTAAACTCCAGACCCAGGGGCAGCCTCCCTATAGGCAAGTCCCTAACATTCCAGTTTCTCTGTGCTCCCTGCAGTGTGCTCTGTACTCCCTGTGCTTGGGGACCCACCCTGCAGGCTGCCCTGGATGGCCTGGTCCTGCCCCTGCTGCTCGGAGCATGGGCGCCAGCAGTGTCTTAGCCCTGGACTTTGCCCGGATTCCTGCACAGACCCATGAGACAGTCGATGGTCCTGATTGTGCACCAGGGATGTGTCTGGGCCCAGCTGGTTGTCCAGGAAGTTGCCACCAGACAGTAATTGAGCACCAGCTGTTTGGCAGAGGCTCTTTGAGACAATGAGGGTAGTAAAGGTCTATCCCCTCCCTGCTCCAAAGACACCACCTCTATCTAAGGACAAAGGTTACACACACACAGATAGCAGCCGCTCAGGCAGCAGAGTCAATATCCCCAATGTCCCCAGAACATTGGGAAGGTGTCCTGGATCAGGTACTGTGTGTAAAGAGGGAATTGGGGCCCATGGAGATGGCACTACTCTATTTGTCCACCCCCCACCCACACCCACCCGCAACGAGGGGACATGCAGGAGAGGAGAGAGATGAGTAGCCCTGGCTTTTCCTTCTGGCCCACTGTGCGCTCTGCGGTTGGATAGGCCCCCAGACGTTGCGCCCAAGTCAGCTGGAGGCCTGGCCCTCTGGGCTCCCCAGACCTGACCCTCTGCACTCTAACCTGGCACCGCTCCCCAGCCTGGCTGGGCTGTTTTGGACACCTGATGCTGGGCCTTCCTCGCCTGTGTGCCCCTAGAACCTGACTAGGACGTGAGCAGTGACCAGACAGAACCTTTGCGTGGCTGGAGTTCTGTGACATAGAACTAGGAGAAAGCAGGCAGCAGCTTCCATAGAAATCAAACTGAAGGCCTAAGGAGAGGTTTGCTTCCTTATCTAGTTTATCCCAGGATGGAGGAGCCAAGCAAAGTAAGGCTGTCTAGTGATCTGAGAGTCTTGCTTATGTCCTGGTGACACCCCAGGACCCAGGAGGTCCATCTTAAGACCTCAGAGAAAGGAAGAAAGGATGGAGAAGTCCCCATATGACTTGCCACTCCTTCACCTCCTCCTAGTGGCCTTTCTTTGTCCCCTGTGTCACAGAGGGTGGCCTCAATGACACCCCCTACCACCCCTTTTTCTAGCACTTCCTTGCTGGGCTCAGGAGATCTTGGGGAAGGGGATGTTTATTTCTCCCTGGAGCCATCCAAGCCACCCAGGCCCCTGTCACCAGCTCTCAGATTGCAGCGTTTGGGGGCCCCTTGGGTCACAGTATCTTGGGGTCTTCCTGGGTTTTGCCTCCAAGGAGCAGAAGCTGAATGAGGCACCCCTGGTGGAGCCTTGGGTAGGCAGCCTTGCCTCTGGCCCCAGCAGTGCTTAGCAAGCAGGAAAGCCCTCCTGGGAGGCTGCGCAGCTGGGGGAGAGGCGATGCAGACAGAGCAGGGAGAGAAGGCAGGAAGAGGACCCCTATCTGGGAGCAGCAGGCGAGGGAGGTGGGGAGGAGAGGGCCGCCTTCCCTGCCTGAGTTAGCACTTTTTTCTCTGGGTGTTAAACTCAGCTCTTCCCTTTTTCTCCTATGCCTGACTGCCTGTTAAATAATTTAAATATTTGGGCCTAAAGGGCTTCAATTATCCTTTAATTTACATTAGTAATTTATGTATTAGGCAGAATGGACACGCAGTTAGCATAACAGCCCCCAGTAGGCCACTGAGATCTGATGTGCTTCACACGCCTAAGCAGCTCATCGTCTTCTTTGTTGTAGAAGTGGCTTCGGTACACGTGTGTCACACAGACCTGTCACATGCGCACATGTGCACAGGAGAGGATGTCTGTACCCATGGGGACACTGACATACATGCACAGATGTGAAATGCACGCACACCTGGCCACACCCATTCTGAGTTCCCACAGGCCCTGGTGTACCCAACATGCCTGCATTTGTCTCAGCTGTCCTTGAAGTCCCAAGCAGAGCTCCCTCTGGCAAAGAGGCTGGTGGCCCCAGCATGGCATTCAGATAGGCCATTCTGTGTCCTAGTTCTCTGTCCCTCGTCCTGCAGCCATTCAGGAACCTGACCCCAGGGTCAAATGGTCCATGCACACATGACTGGCCATGTGTCCAGCCTGCTCACCTGCCACAGGCTGGCACCACCTGCAGACTCCTCTTGGGCTTCTGAGGCCTGCTGCCCACCTGGGCCTTGGCATCAGAGCCTGGCAGCTTGGTACCAGAATTTGGCATGGCCTGAGATCTTGCCCTGACACAGTTCCACTGTCAAAGGGAGCCCATCTGGGATTGCCAGCTCCCAGCTGCTTCCCAAATCCTGGCCCGGCTGCTCCAGCACCAGCTTGCGAGAGCTGAGGGCTTCCCAGGCGGTGGGGACAATAGTGACAGAGAGTGATGTCCCTTTTTATGTGTTTCTGAGATTGTTCAGCTGAGATTGGCCCCAGCCCTGAAGGCCAGCACCCTAATTCCATGTTGTCCAGGCAAAGCCATTTGGATCTGGAGCCGTCCCTGAGAAGTGCTTCCCAACTGTCATTCCTAAGTGCAGGAGAGCCCCTGGAATGGTCCCTGGCTCCCCCTCCTCTCCCCATCTCTCCCTCCCAGCCCACAGAGAACAAGGAGGGTGAGGCAGGCAGCACAGTAGGCAGTGCAGAGGAGAAAATCCAATTCGCTGGATGAGGGTTTGAGTGCTTCCTCGAGTTCTAGCCTCCTTCTTGACTCTGATAACTCAGTGTCCCCAGCCTGTGCAGCCTCAGGTGGCTGTTTAGAAAGCCTGAGGGTGGCTGCATGGTGCGTCATGTTGAGACAAATTCCAGAGCCACATCTGGACTCATTTGCAAAGGTCAACATCAATTAGCAATGTCTGCTGTGGTATGGGGTGGGGACATGGTGGCATTCATTTCAGGTATTTGCCATCACAGATCCAAGACCAAATTACAGAGGCTTGTTACTGCTTTATAGTGGTTTCCCAAAGAGTTATCCACCTCCTAGGTCCAAAAACCCCAAAGCAGATTGTAACTTGCAGATTGGGAACATTCTTCCCTAACTCCTAGAGAGTCTAACATGGGTCCAGAGATACTGTAGAAACCAGGAGTATATTTATACTAGAGGTGGGAAAATTTTAAGAGATCACTGAGGGATGGCGAATAAGTTTCTTCTTCCCCGCAACTCTGAACAAACAGTAATGCCTTCCAGGAGCTGTGCTGATCCTGAGATTTCCACTGGGCTCTCAGAGTGTTCCAGTCAATTAATGATGTCTGTCATGGACTCGGCCATGGCAGAAGTTGTACTGGGCTATTGTTCTTATGCAAGGAGGACACAGAAAAGGGGTAATCTGTCAGAAGTTACCCCACTTCTTGCTTGAATGCTTATAGAATCCTAGCTCCTGCCAGAGGATCTCTACAGGGGGAATCAAAGCAAGGAAGGCAGAGGTTTCTCCAACATACGTTCACTTGTGCCTGTATGCAGTAGCCTCCCCTTACCCAGGAGGTTCTCGTCCAACACCCTCAGTGGGAGCCCAAAACTGTGAACAGTACTGAAGCCTATATAGTTTGGGGTTTTTTCCTGTACGTACATGCCTTGATAAAGTTTAATTTATAAAGTAAGCACAGTAAGTTGACATTAACAATGACTTACTTAGAGATTTTGATAATCTTAGCATATGATTTTTGTTTCATTCCTTATTGAGAACTTCCATCTTTTAACTTAAAGCATGCACTTATCAGCTTCTCTTTAGCATATCCAATTGTGAGTATCAGCACTTCCGCATTTCAGGGCCATTACTACATAGGCTAAGAGTTACTTGAACACAGCATTGTGATGCCATGGCAATTCATATAGTAACTGAGACGGATACTAAGTGGCCAACAGTAGGGTAGCATATACAGTGTGGATACACTGGATATGGAATGATTCATATTTCAGACAGGATGGTGCAAGTGTTCATCACACTGCTTGGAAGGACATACAATTAAAAACTTGTGAATTATTTAGTTCTGATATTTTCCATTTAATATCTTTGGACTGTAGTCAACATGGATAACTGAAAGCATGAAAAACAAAATCATGGATAAGGGGTCTATTGTACCTCATACTGTCACTGAAACATATAAAGCCCTTGCGTACATATATGCGCACACACACATACACATACAAACTTGGCCTTCTCTGTCAATCTCATCCTCTTTAGCTGGACTGTGAGACCAAGGAAGCCCAGCCAGGCAGACAGTTGATACATCTGTCTCGTTCCTGTCCTTACAGCTATAGTATTCATAAGTCTTCATGCAGTTTTTAAACTTTTGCCTTTTATCTTTTCATAGGGGAGGTGGTTGGTACAAAAAAAAAATAC